ATTTTTCTGGACCCCCAATTGATGCATCTGTAGTTTTAGAAATTTGTTATGATTTTATCTAGGGTTCCATTTAACATTCAAATAATAATAAAAATAATACATTCTACTGTAATTTTAAACATCCATGTATGACAGCACTTTACCAAGATGTTTACATGACTTGGGGAAGTACTAAAGTATCTATCTCTATTTGGCTGATAAGAAAACTTAAGTCAAATGTCCTGACTTGGGTCACAGAGAAAGTAAATGGCAGAGGAGTACTTGGTAACCATTTTGGTCTCAGTCCATCTTTTTTTTATTTTTTTTATTTTTGAGGCAGAGTCTCACTCTGTTGCCCTGGGTAGAGGAGTACAAGAGTCATCATACCTCACAGCAACCTCAAACTCTTGAGCTCCAGTGACCTCCTGCCTCAGCCTCCTGAGTAGCTGGGACTACGGATGCTTGCCACCACGGCTGGCTAATTTTTCTATTTTTAGTAGAGACGGGGTCTCCCTCTTGCTTAGGCTGGTCTTGAACTCCTGAGCTCAAGTGATCCTCCTGCCTCAGCCTCCCAGAGTGCTAGGATTACAGGTGTGAGCCACTGAGCCTGGCCCTCAGTCCATCTTAATCGAATGATTCTTTGTGATTAAGGTAAGGTTCTTCAAAGAAGTAAATTTTTTTTAACTGGACACAGAGTCTAAAAGCATGAGATTCAATAGCAGCTTTATTTTTATCCTAAGATTACAACAGATATGGTTTCACGTATATGAATTTCCCTTGGATGTATGTGCTAAATTTTCGTTTCTCTGACTCTCCCAGCTCTTCTCTGCGTGTGGCTGAAAAGAATTGAGCAGCAATTATTGTGGCAGTTACTCTGGGTTGCCTGAACAATGCTCTTCACTCACTTCTCCTGGTCAGGGAGGCTGCACCCCTAGTTGGCTTCCAGAAGGGGCAGTGGCTTCCTCCCTGGGAGGTGCAGACTCCCAGACAACACCTGTGAACAGCAGGCACCCAGACCACCTGGCGCCCAAAGCATCTGATTTCCCTGCTGGCAAAGTTGCTCTCGTTCCTGCCCTGCGGGAAGTGAGAGAAGCAGGGGCTTCCTCAGAACACCCACCCTTGGCGCATTCAGCAGGACAGCCTGGCTCTAGCAGCTCCCCGAGGAGGATGGGGCTGGGGGTCTGCACCTGCTCCTCTCGGGCTGTACTTTCCCTAGGAAAGCCTAGTCCATAACACCTGCCCTGTGACATTACAGAATTGACTTGAGCTCTGCTCTACAGCAAGATCAGGAGCTGAACGGACTCGCTTTCCACCCTCTGCTTTCATTTATTAAGATTCCTTTGGGGTCATTAAGAATTGCAATAAGAATTGCATAATTGGCCAGGCGTGGTGGCTCATGCCTGTAATCCTAGCACTCTGGGAGGCCGAGGTGGGAGGATCGCTCAAGGTCAGGAGTTCGAAACCAGCCTGAGCAAGAAAAGCAAGACCCCCGTCTCTACTAAAAATAGTAAGAAATTCATTGGCCAACTAAAAATATATAGAAAAAAATTAGCCGGGCATGGTGGCATGTGCCTGTAGTCCCAGCTACTCGGGAGGCTGAGGAAGAAGGATCGTTTGGGCCCAACGGTTTGAGCTTTCTGTGAGCTAGGCTGATGCCACGGCACTCTAGCCCGGGCAATAGAGGGAGACAATGCCTAAAAAAAAAAAAAAAGAAAAGAAAAAGAATTGCATAATTAAGAACTGCAAATAACTAAGTATCTCATAAAGTACAATTTATAGAATTTTCTTATATTCTATTTAATTCTCAAAAACATTTGCCAACCAAGATTTATTTTGTTATACAGACAACACATCTAAGTTTCAGAGAGGTTAGAAGCCTCCCTCACAGAGCAGCAAATCTGGGCCTGGCTGTACAGTGTCCTGGCTTCAAGCCGAGTTCTCTCTCCGCTGCTCCTGCACGTGTTGGAACAGGCCTCTAGAAGCAACCCCAATTACTCCCATATATTTAGAGCATCCACGTACGAGGTCCTTTGCTAGGTTGCCAGTGAATTCAAAGACCAATAAGACATCTCCAAGACCTTTCTCTCCTCTGCTAAATAGATCATTTTAATACCTATTTATTATACACATATTCATTATACTGTTCAGTTTGCTCAAAACGTAGAGCCCATCTATATTAAAAAACAGTAGGCAAACTTTACAGAAGCAAAGGGATGAGGAAGTCTTGGCTGCTACTTGGCCAGAGGGAACAAGACATCAGCAGTGACCAAGTCCCCGAGTAATTGCAAACTGTTATCATTCTATCAAGAGCTTGCCAGGGGAGGAGGTCTGGGAGAGAGGGCGGAATAGGACGTGTGCAGCGAGTCTTCTCATCTGTGATCTGCATTCAGGTGTGTTCCTTGAAATGGTTGTAGAGGCAAATACATTTCTCTGAAATCCACATTTTTTACCTGTCATCCCACTAATGGTGCCCCTTGGGGTTTAGACACAGACGTTACGCTGGTGGCTCAAACTTAACATTTTTCAAAGCTGAACTCATCGTCTATCTTCCTCAAACCATTACACGTTAGCCTGTTAGATGGCCTGGCTGCCATCTACTCCCAGGTGCCTAAATGGAGAGGACACCCGGACTCCCCTCTTTCTTCTCTTACGGTCATCGCCATCGAGTCCTTTAAATTTCACGTCCCCGAGGTACACTGCCCTCTTCTCCACCGTCAGCCATGGTTCCTCTCAAGCCCTCCATGCCTGTCGTGGACTATCGTGCTCAGCTCCCTTTCTGCCCTCCTGCCTCAAGGCTACCCACACAGGACTGCAGGACACATAAATCTAGACTCCTAAGGCCCCCGGAGAGGAGGGAAGCTCTGGTGCTGCACTGCCTGTCGCGCAGCCTGTCGGTGGCTCTCTTTCCTTCTGCACGCCACGTTCCAGAGCCGCGGCGCCGACAGCGCCCCAGACTGGCCGTGCCCATTCACGCTTCTCCACGACGGCCATTCGAGGAAGGGCGAGCCTGGGAAACCCCACCTCTCTTTCCAGCATGCCCCTTTCCCTGAGGACCTTCTTGACCCCTGTCCACCCTCTCTCAGTTAGATTTGAAATCTCCTCCATTAGTTCTTGTTGTATCTTGCACAGGTCCTCCTCAGAGCACCGGCTGTGTCGTGGTGTCCATTTGCGTGTGCGCATTTTTCTTTCCCTCAGCCAGTGTTTGACTCCCAAGGACAGAGAGCACGTTCTATTCATCCCTGCGTCCCTAGCTCTTAGCAGGATTTGACGTCTGACAAAAATGAGTCTCGCTTAGATGTATGCGCTGGAGTTCCCGCTTCCTGAGTCTCTCCGCTCTCCCCTGTGGCAGGACAAGACGACCCGAGCAGCAGTGTTGGTGGCCGGTCACTCTGGGCTGCCACAGTGATGGACAGTGACCCAGCCGGACGGTGCTCCCCATTCTCCCAGTCGGGGGCGCTGCACCCAAGGCCCCCTAAAGAGGCAGGGGGTCACGTTGGGCAGACAAATAGAAGGGAGAGTCTGCCGGGCTTGCCCAGTGACACACAACTAGTGAAAAATGGTGACAAGAACATGAGTCAGGGCAGGGCGTCCTGTTCTTGCCACTCACTGGCAAGTGTCACTCACTTCCTAGTGTCAGAAGAGTCCCTGGCACATTCGCCTTCAATCAATATTTGTTGGATAAATGACTGATTGGATGGATGACTACCTGAATGAATAAAAGCTAACATCAAGCCCACGCCCTTTCAATTCCATTCTCCTGATTTCCAATCTTTGCGTAGTGTGTGTGTGCATCATACTACGCATCTTTCAAAGAAATAAAATTAAAAATTGAGTATCATGATCTTTTCTTTGCAATACATCGCCATTAAAGCATAATGATAGCTATTTACAAGTATTTCTCTCTTTCTCTCTCTCTCTCACACACGCATGCACTCTAAGCCACTGAAATAAATAACTTTAGTGATTTGTTTTATTTACTAGAAGATATACAGGTTTTGGAAAATAAATGAACAGCCTACCTGAAAACCATATAACTTCACATTCTCAGAATTAGATTTTGGTTAACTGGCAGAATGAATTTGTCCTGTAGACTGAATAAATTAAATAGCACAATACAGAGGTGGACTGAAGAAAACGGTGGCTGGTCACGCGAGGAAACGTGTGAGCGTAGCCAGTCGTGTGTGCAGCCGCCCCGAGGCAGGGAGGGGACCTCCCAAGGTCTCTAAAAACCCAGGGAGCCGGCACTGGGTGTGCGCTTCTGGAAAGAACCACACTTAGCTTTATATTCTTCCACCTAAACTTCTGGGGCCTCTCTTTTTCACAGGGAACGACAGCCGATTTTATCCTTATCTGTGACTGACACAGACCCAGCCATTCCCTGTAAAGTAGGACAAAAGCCAGCAGAGGGATGGAAGAAACCCAAAATAGATCTTTCTTGAACTGATTTATATCAGACCTATAAACAATGCCAGGTTTGAAAGGAAAGCAGACAGGCAAGCACTTGCTGAAGACAAGAGCAAGGGACGATTTCTTCCTTCTCTTTCTTGTCCCCCTTCTGCCTCCCTTTTCCCCCCAGTCCTGGTCCTCAAAGCAAGCACAGCAGGAGATGGTGGCCCGAGCCGCAGGGGACCGCGGGCTCTCTCAGTTGCACACACACCCGCTTGCCGGCCTCCCACCCAGGGCCAGCCCCTCTCCTGGTCCGCAGCACGTTTTATGATGCAAGTCGCTGTCTACAACATGGCTCATTATTTTCCTCTCTGAATAAAATATGAACACATCCATTACGTGTCAGTCTGTGTCTAAATGCATACCCTTGTCGCGCTGACCTCTTTCTGCTTTTATGTTTTTCAGTACGTTCCTGACATTTGTCAACCGGGCTGGTTCCAAACCTTCCCTACCTATTACCTTATTATTTCAGCCCTTTCCAGACTTTCTCTTCTATCTAATTAGTTCGACCCAAAGGCTCGCTGGGGGCTCGCTGGGGGCCGAGCCCGGCTGGCCACGCTGCGGCAGGCACTCACCACTGCTTGTAGTCCGCGTCGCAGTTGCAGTAGTACTTGGGGTCGGTGCAGTTGCGCTCGATGCCACAGGCGCATTTCTGGATCCCGGGCCCGGAGCCTCCCCAGTAGTAATGCTTTTCGTTGGCTTTGCCAACCCACCAAGTGTAGGGGCTCCCGTCTGCCAAAAGGGGGAAAGGCAACGTTTAGAAACAGACCTGGACTCGGACACGGTAATGCCACGCTGACACCCCCCTCCCCAGGAGTAACAGTCTCTCGTGGGCTGAACGCCATGCAACCCTCTTGAAAGTAAATGTATTTCGATAATAGAAACATTTAATAAGAAATATCAAAGGGAATAATGGTAAGCTCCAGTTCCCCCACTGGGACAATGTACCTCTTTCCTGGGAAGAAATTTTACATTCAAGCTTCTGTAATTTAGGAGTGGATTCAGTAAGTGGGCAGCCCAGATGGGGTCAGTCCAAAGTGAAAGCGTATAGGCCAGGAATTGGTTCTACAATATACAATTCACGGATGTTTCTGTCGACTGATAGTCATGGAGATCATAGATCATTGGAGCTAAGCACAGACTTTCACTGTTTCAAAAGTACGACCTCCTAATTTTATGGGTAAGGAAACATAGGTCTAGAAAAGTTAAGCAATTCTTTTAATCACACAGCAGCTAAGCCTGCAAACCAGAACACTACATTACAAAACTCACTGTACAATGTTCTTTATATCATATTCTTTCCCCTAATTATTTGGCCTAGTATTCACTCATTGATTCATTCATTCATCCAAACATCAAACATCCATGGGGTCCATTATATGCCAAACATTATACGAAACTTAGTAGAAAGTCGAGGGGAAAGATACAGATTAGAATACAGTTTAATCAGTATTATGAACACAGAGGAGGGTGGGTGAGGGGAAGGAGGTCATGAGTGAAGGTTTCCCCAGAGAAGGTAAAAAGCCTGAACTACATCTTGGGGTTTGAATGGGCATTACCCAGAAGAATAAGGACGTGAGAGAGGTGAGGGAGCAGAATGTAGAAAGACACAGGGGTAGAGTTCTCCATGGAAAGCAGATGTCGGACTTCATGCATCTGTAGAAGAACAGGGCTGGAGGGACGGGTGAGAGGGTAGCAGGGGTGGGTAGCAGTAGACAGTAGATGAAGACCACATTGTGAAAAACCTCTGTCCAAATAAGAAGTTATTTTGCCTTGGTTCATTCTTCCTTCTTAATACTTATTTTCCCCCAACTTAAGAAGTTTGATCTTTATCTTTAAAATATTGGGTAACTATTAAAGAATTTTAAGCAGGGAATTATCAGATTCGTGTTTTCAAAGATCGACAGGAAGAGGAAAGATGGAATTGTGTGGCATGAAGTCAGGGAGGCCAGAAGCGATGCACCTATGTTAATACAAAGGAGAAATACTAAAACAGCAGTGGAAATGGAGAGGAAAAGAAAACTGGAAGGTTCAGAAGATACAGTTGGGTTGGGACTGTTGGGATTTGCGTTGTGCAGACAGCATCATGGACTGATCCTTGGCTTCTGGGTGGGTGACGAAGGGGAGGTGATTTGCTTTCTCAAGGCAGGACAGAGAGAAGGAAGAGCGCCAGCAGTGTAGGGGATATAGAAGAAAAGGCGATGGGCTTGATACATAAAACAGGCAATCGGCTGTAGAAGTCTGGATCTCAGGAGCATTTTCTGAGCTGAAAATGCATTTTAGGAACCATCAGCTCAAACTAGAACATACTGGAAGCGGGAGAGATACTGCTGGGATCTTTTAGATGACAGCAGGGTTTCAGAAGCAGCAGCAGGAGGGGAAATGGCCACAGTGGGGTTCAAGAAAGAAGGCAGTGGGGAGAGATGGGGAAATCAGGGGAAGGGGTTCCCAGAGAGCAGAGGGGCGGGTGTCGACGCATTTCATAGCAAAGTCCATTAAGATGAGGATTTAAGAGTTTTCTTTTATTTTGACAGCTAGGTCACTGGAGACTTTGTTGCCAGGAGTCTCAGGCGAATGGCGGGAAGAAAAGCCCGGAAGCAGCAGGTGCAGACGGGAACGTAAGGGGGGAATGGGGAGGCCCTGACAATGCTCAACTCTTTTTTTTTCTTTAATTTTATTTGAGTGTGGTGAGAGCACTTAACATGAAATCTACCCTCTTAACAACTTTTTAAGTGTGCAGTACCCTACTGTTAACCATAGGTCTGGTGTTGTGCGGCAGGTTTCCAGAACTTGTTTTTCTTGTTTAACCACTTCGGGACCAGTTTCCACTGTAGTGGGCAGCCACAGATGAATGCACACAGCGACTTTAGCCAACAGCCGTGATATGACTTTTCTAATTTTTCATTTATCAAAATTAAATTGTGAACATTTAAACATAAGGTAATGAAAACATATATGTATATGTGACCTATTCTGATTTACATGACGAGTAAAGCTGCCTGTAAAGTAAAACAGGCTTTCAGTGCTTTCAAGCTTTCCTCATCACACAAGAGCAAAACGGATGTGTCAATGCACGGCACAGACTGTCGTTGGGACTGTGAGTGCCGGCTGTGGGCAAGGTTTCAAGGCCGGTGAGCGTGGTACTGAAGTGGTTAACTGAAGATTTTTATTTTTTATTACCTCATATTATGGGAGTACAGATATTGTTAGCGTTACATATCTTGCACCCACCCCCTGCCCCACCCCGCTATGCCAGAGCTTCTAGCGTGTCCAGCCCCCAGGTGGTGCGCACCGCACCCCCGTGTAAGTGCGTACCCTTCCCCTCCTCCCCCCTTCCCCCTGCCCACTTCCCGATTGCAGATTTTTTTTTTAGACATTTTGGTTACATTGTTTATCTTTGCCTCTCCCTAAAAAGGGATCCAGGCAACCCCTTCCCCCCTACAATGCTCGCCACTTCCTTAAGATGTGGGTCTCCTCCCCCCAAATCCCTGTTGAACACTACTGTTTTTTGAGCACCATAGTTTTAGTCAGTCAGTACCAATTTGATGGTGAGTAGATGTGGAGCCCATTTTCCAGATCTTGTGTCATCTCGCTTTGTTTTACGGGCTTAAGCTTAATCCAGGATAGCATAAACGGTGCTAGCTCACTGTTGTTTCTTAGGATTGAGTAATATTCCATTGTGAGCATATACCACATTTTAGTTATCCACTCATGAATTAACGGCCACTTGGGTCAACTGAAGATTTTATGCCCACTGATAAGCACCTGACCATTTCCCCTTCTCCCAGCCCCTGGGGACCACCGTTCTTTCTTTTCTTTGTTTCTATGATTTGACTACTTTGGATTCTTCCTATAAGGGGAATCATGCAGTGTTTGTATATACATACAGTAGAATATTATCCAGCCTTAAAAAATAAGGACATTCTGCAATATGTGATAACATGGATGAAGCTTGAGAACATTATGTTAAGATAACAGGGGACTCTCACAGGAAGATGGGGGATGAATGAAACCTAATGAAGGCTGTGCCAGCCAGTAAGCCAAAAAGGCTAGTCACTAAAATCCCCAGGTGTTGGGGTTAAAACTGCCTTGTAAGAACTCATCCACCCTTTCAGGATGTTACGTGTGCACTTGTATCTGTGCGAGTGCCCAGCAATAAAGACGAGGAAAACGTCTTGTACTTGTGAAGTTATCACTTGAACAGTCACAACATCTAAACAAATAATACAATAAAGTAACTAAGGACCATTTTTGGAATTATGGAAACAATACTGCGGTGCTTTCTCAGATATTCTAATAGCTTTTCTTAAGAACAAATTCTGTTAAAAGATGGGTAGCATTAAACATTTGAGAGCAGATGTCTTTATTATAGAATGTCTTTTTTCCCTTTGGGTAAACACCCAGGACTAGGATTGCTGGATCAAATGGTAGTTCTACTTTATGTAAACAAAGTGTTTATACCCCTGTAATATTCTGAAATTAACAAAAAAAGGGGGCAGCTTAAAATCACTAAAAATATACTGGGCTTAAAGTTCAGGTTTGATGTAATGAATGAGCAAGTCCACTGAATTTGGAAAGGAATTATCCAATTATCCTCCTACTCCATAGATTCTTTAGTGTATTGACTTAATTTGGAAAAGTTAATATTTTCCTTTGGCATGGTCATTTATGGCATCCAAATTTTTAAAAATATATTTGACTTGATCTGGCAAACAGTTGAGAGGGAGATTTCAATGCTCTGTTCCAAGGGGAGAAAGAAGCCAGCTCTTTGAGATAAGGGTCTACCCTGAAACTGTGTCTTCTGCCCACCTGGGCCTTATCCCAGCTTTCTACATTCAGGTCATTTTGCTTCTCTCTTCTCTTTCCATTGGTGTAAAGGATAAAGGATCCAACTTCTGATGCTTTCTGTTATTGAAACCACAACTGATAATAGACTTGTTTTCTTTTTATGCAGTCCAGAGTTTCAAAAAAATAAGAATTTAAAAATCCCATTTTTGGAAACCATACCATATGAGCCACCCAAAGAAATGTTAAGGCCATTTGGTCCAAAAGCTGCACTAGGTCTCTGCTGATTCCATCCCTAGTGATGTTATAGGGAGAGGACAAGGTAGACCATGCCACGCTGACCTCACAAAAGGCTCATGAACCCTGCCAGACCAAAACCTGACCCTGAAAATGTAGAAACATTACCTAGACTGGTTATCATATTCATTTATTGCATTGCATTTTTCAAGTTGACCTAATACTAAGTTCTTTCTCTCAAAGGAAATTGTGGTTAATGCTATTGTTTTTGGAAACTAGGGGATGCTACACACTTGGTAGAGGAGAAGAGACAAATCAGACACCTGTAGAACTAAAGTTATAGTTTGGCAGAAAACTCCTTTGTCCTGCTTGTACCTCAGATAATGAAAGAGTGCATATCTCTGAATCTCGGCTCAATTTCTGGTCATTCCTTCTGGCGACCGGTAGAAACAACCTAACACCGTGTTATATTTTCATTATAGACAGTGACAGCAATTTGCACAAACCAGAGAAACTGTGTGTGGCTAAGCATTCTTTGTAAAAGTCAGAACGGTGTCAGTAAAAAGAGCAAGGTAACAATTAGCCTCACCCTTTGGATGACGAGAAAAGTGCTATAAGGTTGTGGTCCCCAGCCCCCAGGTCGTGGACCAGCACCGGTCTGTGGCCTGTTAGGAACCAGGCTGCACAGCAAGAGGTGAGTGGTGGCCAGC